CAATGCGTGGGCTCGAATCCCACCAAGGCTACTGAACTTCTCACAATCTCAACGTAAGACTTCATTCTACCAAGCAATGGTTTGAACAAATGAACTTGCCTTAGAAGTTCATTCGGTGGACTCAGATGAATTCTGAGGGAGACCTGTCGTGGTAGTCAGTTTACATGCCACCTGATGGATGCCATATGTGTCTGTAAGTTGGATGGGTAATTCGAATGTGAAAAACGCACTGAGTGCTCTGTCAGTATGCAAAGGAACAACTAAATCCACAACAGGTTCTGTGATGTTGGAAGTAAAGTCGAAAAGCAGAGCAGCCAGTTGTGACCAGCGGGGTTTGCGGAACCCAAAATACTCGAGAGCCAGCAGTGGAACTTGGCCTCTGGCATATTTGGCATCCACTACTACTATAATATGATTAGCTCTGAAAGTGTGCAATCCACTCAGCTTCCGCGATGTTTACAAGCCGGCCGCATTTCTGTACAAACATTAGGGATAAGCTTTTCGTTCTCTCCTCATCCACGATTACATATTCCTTCACTTGCACATGCTCGGCAAGTTATGTGGGACAAACGATTTGACAGTTTTCACAAAAGGGGTTAGAGAACATAAGCCTTGGCTTAGCACGGTTTGCAAGAAGACAGTAATAATCAATGCGCAATTGTGGCCCATCTCACCAATACGTGTAAAGTAAAAAACAAACAAACAAACAAACAAACAAACAAACAAACAAACAAAGTGCCTCAAAACAATTCGAAGTACGTTCGGCAACGTCACCAGTTGCCTTGGCCTCACCCCCAATCGTGTTGTGATGACTTAACACGGCATGACAAATTGCACGCGAAAAAGTTAATCAGAAATTTCCAGAATGGATTTTGATCTGATTAATCAATTTGACAGAGATTGTTGTACTTCCACATTTAACCTCAATGAACCAATCACATTGATTTCTACATCATATATAGACACATACACAATTGCAAATGTCCGAAGACGAAGTTATTGTTTGTCTTTTAATATGTTTATGGAAATTTTCCTTTGAACTTCCATCATAGTATTTTCTAACACATCATAACGGGTTTTATTGGTCCAAGTGGATAGCTTCATTTTGTCCGACAGGAAAGTATGTCACTTCGCTCCCTCTTGGATGGTATTTTCTCGTACCTTCGGATCAGCACACCATAGCAATTCAAACAAATATATATTTTTTTTGTACTGTCGATCCCGGCGTGGTGAAAGGGGATACGGGGATCTATGCGCGAAAACCAGTAGCCTGCATCGGGGATCAATAAGTTCACGTGTTCTCGGGGTTGGGGAGTGGGAAGGAATAGAAATAGAAACATTAGATTCAATAGTGTAATAATTTTACACTTCAGCGTCAGTTTTTTGCTCAGGTCGATAGCCTTGGATTTCGGTGTCCTAATTTGGATTGACCGATCTTGGTTGAGCTATTACATATGCCAATGCTCTCTACATACCCGTCAGTCTCTGTAACCCTTAATAGTCTAGAGTGACCTCAGCCATATATCTGGGTGTTACGATCACTAATAGTCTTCGGTGGTCGACACACATTCAGAACTGCATGGAAAAAGTTTGGATCCCTCTCCTTTCAGCTCCGAAAAAGCTCAGACAATTTCGCAGTTCCCAACACATTTTGTTCTCTTTTGGTACACAATTCGTTCTCCCTGTTTTGCTTTACTGTAGTGTGTCCTGGTCTATTGAAACAAGACTTTGAAACTATCCGTCGTGGATTGATGGTAATAAGCCGTGCATCTTTAATTTCTGTCGAGTCAATAATCACAGAACTTATTAATGGTCTTATGAAGTCTTGTGCGACCGTTGCTAATAAGATTCTAAACGACCCCACCCATCCTTTGCATTTTGACTTATCTTCTTGTAGCTCCGACACTCGATCACTCGTTCCTCTTATTGGTACCTACCCTCCCGAATAAATATTTATAAAACTTCACTGTACCGTACCTGGCTCAAATCTTGATCAAAAAGGAACTATAGTTGTGAATGAATTACGGCAATCTTTAATTGAGTAAATTAGACTTCATAGTCATTTTTTTACACAGTAATCTATTGGATTTATCGATAGTTCTTTATTTTCTCCGAGGTGACGACCAGTGTGCAATTTTCAGCTGAAATATGAGCATCTTTCAGCTTCAAAAGTTATACAAATGCAAATACAAAATGGAGTTGACTGGCGATGAAAGAAGTACAAGCTTAACATAATTCCAAGACTAAGTAAGATTCGGGATAGAAGCGAAACGGTCGTATGCACAAGCACCACTGTTAACGACCCAACTCAGTGACATTGCTCCTTGCTTTCTTAAGCTTTATACGTGGCCCTGCATTTGGTCAAAGTCTGAATAGGTTCATGCCAGGTCATTGTAGGACAGCCGTTGATATTCCTTCAAATTACTCGTTGCCTTGGTAAACGCATGCACAGTGAAGAAATCTATCCAGTAATATTGTAATGATTGTACTAGTAGTAGTAGTAGTAGTAGTAGTAGTAGTAATAGTAGTAGTAGTAGTAGTAGTAATAGGAGTAGTAGTAGTAGTAGTAGTACGCACGGGATTCGGAACACGGACCACGCAATAGGAATCACAGGACACGAATCTAGGATTAACTATCACGGACTGGATTATGGAAGCACTGGACCGCAATGGCACCAGCTCGAAATATCCCAGGTGAACGAGACGAGAGGAAAGAGCCATAAGAATAGTGTAGTACGTAGTTCGTTTATTGGAAGGAATGAAGGCGATTAAATAACATGTACAAAAGAAGATCATTGGTTATCTAGGACTCCACCAATCGGATTGCAATACTTTTCGTATAATTCTGCTTCTGTCTGCACTGTCTCGGATTGGCTGGCACGATCTACCAATGACGTGTTGTCGGAAGCCATGCTCGTGTCATTGACGTCACCTTTCAAATTTGATTGATCACGGATATCCAGAAACCGTAACGCGCATCATCACGTGGGCCTGGATCACCATAGTGATGCTAATTGTAGTATACAGGACTGACCTCAACTCAGAATCCATTCGAAACACAGTCCGAATTCTAGCTTCGTCCCAAAAGGCAGCATATCATCCCTGACCACTCACTGATGCTCTTAATAGACAGTTAGGATACATTCCCCACAATAGGTTCTCCGTGGAGGGGGCTTCCAAACGACCTGCGAAACAGGGAAATACAAAAAGCAACCATGCATCAAAAGGTCTAGCAGGAGACATGCACATGACTCACAATCAAATCAAAATGGCTGCCCCCGTATCTTCATTGCATATGCTCCAGTTATCGTAATCTATGCAGATCGGGCACCTGGGGTGACTTACCTTTTTTTACTCTACTGCAGCTGGCTCCTTGGAAAATATAAGTCGACTCCAGACATGAACATGATCCTGATCATGTAGTTCCTTGGGAGTTTCGTACGACAGACGTCTCCAGCGTCATTCGGCGTTTTTTTATTTTGAGGGCTCATCTCTAGCCTTTACACAACCAGGTGCAAACTGCAAGGCAGCAGGAAGTAATCCCTCGCCGCTCGTAAGTGAGGGGGTCAATGACTTCAGTTTTAAAAGGCCAGTAACATCGACCGTTGTCACGACACCGGCTTATGCGGCTTTTATTATACAGGAGTCAGATGACCAGCCTGAAGCTCACCACATCTTGTTAGTGCAGCCGCCGTTTGTTGTCGACTGTTTATTTGTTGCGGTATGCCACACAACTTATTCACCACTAACAACCTACTTCGATGAAGGTATCCCCGTATCCACAACCCGGGGACGCACCTGGCAGTATTCAGCTCCGCTTAACCCCCGAGGGTATCTGTTCTGACTACCTAAAACCCATGCGAATAATCCAGGCATGTTTTGTCCGGTTACTCAACGAGACTCGAGCAGGAGTGACAAAACACGTCCTGTCTGTCATCATTCTTCAACTGTATCGAACATATCTCTGTACCATTGAGCGGTCCAAGCCAGACTGTCGTAATCTGCACTCGTCACTCGGAAAACAATCAGATGTCCCGCGCAATACCAAAGTTGTCGAAACTTCATTTGCGGTATACCTTGCAAACCGGTCAATTTTCTTCATTGTTTCCCCAGTTCAATTTAAAGACTCATAAATCATGCTGAACGTCACCCAAAAATTCAACCACCCTGTGTGGTTTTAGAGCTAAAGCTCCACCACTACGTGGTGTTTGATAAATCTATGCAAATTAGCTCGTTCAGTTCTGATACGAAATGTCACATGGCAAAAATGGAATCGTCAGCACAAGATTGAACAACTCTACTCAATGTTGCTCAATCTCGGCACATGTGATCTCCACGTCTGGTAACTCAATTCTGACTCCACATAATTAGATTCCGTTTCAGCTGATCGTGCATCATTTGATAGGCTAATCAGGCATTACATTCAACTTGGAGGTTCATAGTGCTGCATGTTCACGATCGGTTTTTTGCTTGAACGATGCGCACACACTCTCTTTCCGGAAAAAGAAACCAAATTCTGAACGAAAACAATACACCAGACATATGAACGGTCGAAACAACGTGAGTTCACGGATGACCTTGAAGTGTAAATTTTAAACAAATTACGTTCGCATGATCAAAAAATGCTTTTTCTCGAACGCGATGAGAGAGAGAAGCAGACTGTTATCAAGTCACACACTAAAACGAGATTCAGAACTAGCCAATCTTTTTTGTATAGATTGCAGACGAACAGACACACACACACGCACAACCCCCGCGACCTCCACAAACAGGTACCGTCAGAAGCCCGCGTGTGTGAAAGGAATGGGAGGTGGGAGGGGAGAGACAATAGCCTTTTCAGAACAAGGTCGTTAACCAATCATGGAAACATGCGGGCAAACACGCTCACTGGTACATCCGTTAAACGGAAGTCTGGGCGCAATCCGGTCGTATTTATATTAATGCATGATTGCTACGTGAAAACTATTCAGTCAAGCGAGTTCGGTCTGGCGTGGATAACCATGACTGTTAGAGAATCTGACATACACAAAGTTCGACGCATTCTGTGCCCGGTGGACGGAAGTGAATCGAGTCGACGAGTAGTGGCTTGGTATCTGAATAAATTTTCTCGCAAAACTGATGTGCTCCTCTGTCTGTACATCACAGAGCCTCATTTTTCTCGTCACATCATAGATGATGATTTTACGGAGATGGTCAGTGAGTTGAAAAACAGAATACACGAATCGGAAAAGACCGGACGAGAGATTGGCAAACAGTACATGGACCGGTTACGCGAGCACGGAATTGACGGCCGATTTCTTTTGCGCACAGGGACCAAACCAGGTGAATTGATTGTATCCGCCGCCGAGGATCAATGTGTCGATATGATCCTGATTGGGAATCGTGGTATCAGTGCGTTGCGACGCACATTTTTGGGCAGTGTGAGTGATTACGTATTGCATCATTCCAATGTCCCGGTGGTTTTGGTCCCACCACCGGATCCGCTTGATGCAGAAAGCTGAGTTTGACACCATCCGTCGATCCGATGCCGGAACGAGAACGGTCAACCGCGGAGGACTGCTCCATTTATCAGGTAATAATCACAATCCGATGACTGTGCACTACTGACGTGTATCTTGTGATCGATATTTTTTCATTGAACTATTTGTTGTATTCCATAGCGGTATATTCGCATATTTCGACACGAATATCTTCCAGTTGACATATCTGATCCAAATTGAACGTGATTGTATTGCTCTCCTATCGCTTGTTCTAATAATTCGATTGTAAAGTTATTTTTCTTAATAAATTTACTAATAAACATCACTGGATCGGAAAATCTGTCCGCTTTTCAATTGGTGATAGTCAACGAATTGAATGCACCTGTCTATCACAAAACTCTGTCTGCAGCGGTGGGGACTAGACTTGGAACACGAAACCGTTGATATCACTTGAAATCGAATCCAGGTGGTCGGTAGTATTTTTGTGCCACACAAACGGGTACATCGAAGTCAGTGGGCAAAATGCGGATTCTAAGGATGGGTGGATTATTCGTGTCCTCCTGTGGTGGTGGTGATGGTGGTGTTGCTGCTGCTGGTGTTGGTGTTGTTGTTGTTGGTGGTGTCGTTGGCAGTGGTGGTGTTGGTGTTGGTGGTGTTGGCGTTGGCGTTGGTGGTGATGGTGGTGTCATTGGTAGTGGTGGTGTTAGTGGTGTTGGTGCCATTGGTGGTGATGGTGATGGTGGTGGTGGTGGTGTTAGCGTTGGTGGTGACGGTGATGGTAATGGAGAATTACGTCTGCCCACTTGGGATAATACAATTTTTGGAACAAACAATGAGCGTTTGCTCACAGTCCTAGTGTAGGTCTTTGTGCACCAAAAAACTTTTCGGCAAACAGTTTTCACTACTCGTAGGCAATTTGGGGTCGAGTGAAATGCTTTGCACCATATTTATCTTACTGATTTTACTGTCTCTCCATTTATATGTATGTATGCCAGAAGGTGATACGTTCTTTCCATTGGTGCCCAGCTCCGTCCCTCTGTCCTTGACCCGAAGGTGCCAGATTAAAATCACAACCGATACGCACGGATAGAGTTAGTTATGAATTAATCGATAAATCAGTGGCGAACAAATCGATGGGCTTGGTCTGGTTGGTTGTTCGAGTTGGGTCATTGTGGTTGTCGGTTTCACTGATTGTGTGATAGGAACCACGAACAGTTGTATCTTAGCCGTAACTGATACTACACTTGTCGTGCAGCCAGCTGATCCATTTCCCCTGGGCTTTACCGAGCTATCGTCAGGTCAGGTCAGGTGCCGCAGGATGATAAAGGCTTTCACCAACCGAGTGTCCAGATTCTTGCTCCAGCCTGAACCAACATGCTTCCGGAGCTTCGACTTCTTGTCGACTTGTTTGACCTGAACCGATTTCTTCGTTTGGAACAGCCTCCCTTATGGGGTCCATATCTGAAGTGGGAGGTTCTTCCAGAATAGACAGCATGGAACAGCTAAGCTCAATAGTAGGCACTCTATCAAATCTCGGGATGGAGACTGATCCAGACCCCATCCAAATGCCTTTTGAACTCCTAGACTGTCCTACAGTTTAGTAGTGAAGATGGTAGTTGGTTCCACTCATCTACCACTCTACTTGTGAAGAAGTTGTGTCTAATGTTGAGTCGGCTTCTGGGCTTCATTAGCTTCAGTTGATGCCCCCTTGGTGATTCGAGCGGTGCTTGGGTAAACAGGCTGTCCGCATCTAGCTCAGTCAGCCCGTTCCTTATTTTGAAGGTCTCAATAATGTCGCCTCTCAGGCGTCTCCTCTCCATGGAGAAAAGCCCTAGGGATTNCTAGGGATTGTAATCTCTCCCTATATGACTTACCCCTCATCCCTGCGATCATCCTAGTAGCTAACCGTTGAACCCTCTCAATGACAATGATATCCTTCTTCAAGTAAGGCGCCCAAGCCTGCACGCAGTCTATGGCCCTATATAGAGATAGGAAAACCTCAGTCTTCCTTGACAAAAATGCCGCCTTAAGCTGGAACAATTGTCCCCTCGCTTTTTTGCGGCGGCTAGGATCGAAGTAGGTCCTCGAGCAGGACTGGAACCATCACATGAGTACTGCAAGATGTTCACAAGGAAAAAGGGGGTGGGTGGAAAACAGGTGACCAATCAGGTGCGCTAACCGACTATATAACCAACTATACAGCGTCTTACTCTCCAATTAACTGTATCTGATCTGTGAAACGTTATTGAGGCCACACATACACACATACACAATTCCATGTTTACAGTATTTCACAAAAGAATGTAACTCTAATTTGATGACACAACAGCACTCGCTCGTTCTCTATTTAGGGGCTCCATGCTTCTGTTCCTCCTTTAGGACAATCTTAAATGTTCAAACGGATTTGTAGTACCACTTCTGACCCCATTTTGTTTCCTCTCGACCAGATTTCATAATTGTTTCGTTAATTTGAGATCGGGTAATTGAAGTGAGCACTGTGATCCGGATGATGCATCAGGAATCTATGTGCAGACACACTTTCATGTTGGAAAATCAATGTATAGATATATTGTAATACGAACGTACTCCGGGCTCTCGCAGCGCAGCGGAGTGAACGGATATGCGCGACAGGATGTCTCTCGGCTCGTATTCTCACAGAAGGAGACGATACGAGATTTTGCGGGCAATGAACGACGAACGACAGCAGGGAACAGCTGTAGATAAGTGAGACACGGGGTGATGAGGAAACACTGGTCCCTTCCGTGGGTCAGGTTTCAAGTTAAACCGGCGAGGTAAAACAAACAGAGAACGCCATGTGCCGAAAACGTTCAGTAAGATACAAGCAGTCACGATAAAATGTTACTGACGCAGTTGCTAAGCCTTACAGTATCAAACGTGACCGCAGGTGTCTAACTGGAGATCATAATAAATCTGATCGGGAATACACCAGTTTGCCCAAACCCTGCGATTCCGTTATAGCTACTATCTTGTTCATTTTTACTAGCTTCACAAGTATCATCTTAAATAAGGTCGCAGAAACTTGTGTAACTGATGCCAGCTCAACATCATCGGACAGGGCTTGACTGATCGGTCTTGTAATCGCGGACGCAGCTATTGATCGATTCGATTTGTTGTATTGATCTGTATGTGTCCTGTGTTTGTACCTTGCAAATCGATTCGGCAGGACCACACACATACAAACATCCCACATTCACAGCCTGGAAACTATGGTGACATTTAGTTGACAGAATGATGGGGATGCGCCTCCTTGATCGCGGATCATGTTTGTTCAATCAACGAAACAGCCCAAATCCCCATCGGAGATCTATCTGGATAGGTTAGCGATTGCAAATAGCGTAACCGAACCACATAGTTTCCATTTTGTCTACATCACATAAAGGCAAAGAAAACAAACAAACAAACAAATGCACCTGAGCTAATGAGCCAAAAAGTACACATCTGTACACATCATTCATAAAAAAAACAGAATCACATGATATTTTCCGATCAAGAAACGGTACGGTATATCATGTCAAACTGTGGCAGGGTCCGTCAGCGAGTTCAACAAGATGCTGAAGACTGAGATCTACATCATATCAACACTAAAAGATCATGGGAAGACAGGTGGTTAATCCGGGGGTAGAAAAATCATGTGATCAACATGCGATCTGATTGGATCATATTCCGTGATCTGTGGCGCTTAAAATTTCTCATCCCAACACGAGACTGTCTGATTGCCGGCTTGTACTCGTACGTTTTGTAATGCTCTTGGTGTTACGTCCAGTCCATCCGTGTGGTGATGACACTCTTGATGTACAGTAGAAGTTTACTGGGCCTGCCTAAGATTCACGGTTGTAAAATCCGGTGTGGTTTCTCGCTCGGATTAGTTGGGCAAACACCATTCGACCGATCGATCGGCACAGGAGGAGGCTCCAAATCCGATGCTACTATGCAAGCTGTAGAATGGAAAACATATGGAGGAACAACTTTTGTAATATGAATATAATTTTTTCCGTAATATTTGTTTCTTTCTTTCTGTCGGAATCCTATCTCCGACGTAATTAGCGAGATTGTTCAACGCGAACACAACCAGTTGGGAAAAAACAATAGAGGATTTTGTTGTCCGTTATTAAGACAAGTTCAAAATTTTATTATGATTATCTGTTTACCGAACCAGTCTCGAAAGATAGTGCGTGTATCTTAGATGAGTTAAGCGTTGGTTCAGTGTCAGCATCACTGGACCATTTTCCATTCCGAATTTCCCACGTGGTGCATCGCTCCACAACCGATTCTCCTATGGTCATTCTCTACCAACGCTTGAGCAGCATCGGATTCAGAACTTTATCTCGTCTTATGTGGTCCCAAAAGCCACACAACCGATCAGTTCATTCATCGATCGGTCGGATAGTACGGCCATATCAATGGACTTGGTGCTTGTCCAGCTAACCCGATCGAAGAACCACACTTGTTTTTACAGCGGTGAGTCTTAGGCAGGCCCAGTGATCTTCGACTGTACAGGAAGAGGGCCTTGACCACACGGATGGACTGGATGTGACAACAAGAGCACTACAAAACGCACAGTCCGGTAATCAGACAAGAACCTATCCTCCTCCTGTGCCGATCGATCGGTCGAATGGTTCAGCCGCAACACGGGACCTGCTGTTTTTCCAGCTAACCAGAGCGAGAAAACACCTGCTTTTACAGCCGCGAGTCTTAGGCAGGCCTAGTAAACTTCGATTGTACAGCAAGAGGGTCATCACCCCATGGATGGACTGGACATGACAACAAGAGCATTAAAAAACGTACAATCCGGTAATCAGTCTGGTGTTGGGTTGATAGATTCTGAGTGCCACAGATCGCGGAAAATGATCCAATCAGATCACACAGAGGGTCAGATGGAATTTACTTGTTTGAAGTCATGGGTCAGAGCGACAAGACGATGTGAAACGATGGCGCGATCGCGCTGTACTCAGTCGCTAAGTGTTTAGGTCGTAGTGAATCACCTGAACGAGTTATGGCGAAAATATGTTTTAGAGGTTCGAAATATTGATTAGACTCTGCTGTGATTTGCTTTGAGTTAAGTGTGTGACCAACATATGGCGAACAGTGAGTGTGAGCAGTGCTGACCGCCATGCAAAGACAGTTGACTCCTCCGATTCGAGGAAGTAGATTGTTGCTAGCGATAAAAGTGTGTGTGTGTGTGTAACAGCATGGGGATGACCACGGGTGAATTCATGCAATTCAAATGGACCGAACCGAAACGACAGATTATAAATTATCTTGCGGGTTTGTGGCTCGAGAAAGGCGCTAGAGATAAACGAAAATGTCGTACTAACGGATTTATTCATGGCACACTTGGAATTTGAATCTACGAATTTACTGAAACAAACTGTGCTATACAGAAGGTATGATGATGATATCCTCGTTAGCACGGACAATGTGAAACAGACCAAGAACATTCTCAAACACCTCAATTGACTACGTCCGAACATACGAGTTCGATGGAGTTTTAGTATACCAGGACGAAATCCTTGTGTTTGGTACAACGAAGGCCTAGCATGACGATAAACTCCTTAAACTACAGGAGCGTTTCGCCCAAAAGAATGTGTCAATTCGCATTTCCAAATGCATGTTCAGTTCACCAGAATTGGAATTCTTGGGCCTCACAGTGGATGCAAAAGGCTATCGCCCTGATCCAAGTCGCTTCCGCCCATTGACTGACCTGGAATCACCGAGAGACTAACACCAACTCAGATCCATCATGCGATGTCTCCAATACTATTCGCGTTTCATCCAGAACTTGGCCAAGAAAACTCAACCGCTGTTCGCCACTCAGTCGACTACAGAATGGAAATGGACTG